AGGAAGGAATGAGCTCAGAAAAGAAAAATTATCACTCAAGTCAAATAGCAAGGTCAACCAAATCCCCCATCCCAAACTCAGTGATTGAGAAGTCCCAGTGTACCACCCACACTGCTCCCCTGCATCTTCCCAGCTCCTGTCTTCTACAAACACAGCTGGCTTTCAAGCCCACTGGAGGGCCAAGCACCCTCCACCTTGATCCTCCCCTTCCCTCGGTGAGCTCCCTGTTCTAGCTGTACTCTATGTTTCAGGTATACTCTTTGCTCAACCTCTGCTGAGGAGGAGTTCACTCTGCCCCTGGGCCTTTGCACATGTGATTTCCCTGCCTGGGATACCTGCTCTGTACCAGCAAATTGACACCCATTTCTTAAGACCCAGCACAAGTCTCCACCTCCTTAAGGAGGCCTTTTGTATCTGCCCTGTGGTTGAGTCTGCCAGCTTTGACTCACAGGGCACTGCATATTGTGTGTTTTCAGATCTCCTCTGAGTTTTAAGGGATTTGGAGGGAGCATGGAAGGAGACAAGGCAAAAGGTGGTCTTATATCTTTCTGTTCCTCCATAGCCCTGTGACCTTGGGTCAGCTGTTCAAATCCTCGGAGCCTCAGTTCTGTCCTTGTCGAGAGGGTCAAGAGGCTGAGACTAGTGAGGATCCTTCCCTCAGCTAATTCATGGCCCCTCACGGCAGGGCTGGGTGCATGGTGAAGGGCAGTGCACGCGCGAGGCTGGCCTCACCGTGAGGGGTTAGGAGCTGCAGCGGGCCCTGGGGGGGGTCTCCATCAGAAAAACAAGCCCCCTTGGTTGGGACCCCTGCTCATCATCTCCTGTGGGCCCTGGCCCCAGGCTGGGTACCGGGAAGTGTCTGCCTTGTGTACTGGGACCATCCCTGTGACTGTCTGCCCCCAGAGCCTACAGCCTCCTTCAGGGACCTGCTCTTCTTTCAGTTCCTCTCTTCAGTGCCCAGCCTGGGGCCTTGCAGGGTCTGTTTCTGACCCTACAACTAAACGAAAAACAAGTTTGACTCTGGGAGCATGCTCCAAATAAGGACAGACCTTAGCGATAATCTCATCAAACACCATAATTGTACAGATGGGGAAACTGAGGCCCAGAGTGGGGGAGGGACATGCTGAACTCAGGGAGCAGTATCTGCTTTGGGGCCCAGACAGATCTGGATTTGGATCCAGTTCTTCAACTTCCTGGCAGTGGGCCCTTAGGCAAATCATTTGTCTCTCTGAGCCTCAGTTTCCCCACCTGTAAATGGGGTTTTCTCTTGCCTGCAGTCCTGCGTGTTAGTGGTAGATCTGGGGAGGGAAGTTTGCAGGGGCAGAGAATCAGGTCACCTGTGCCCCCCTCAGCTTACTTTCCACCCTTAGATGAGGAGAAGCTGGCTGGTTTCCCCTTCTCCTGGCCCAGCCTAGTCAGCCAATACTTGATTCCACCCCACGCACCTGATCTATGGAAAGGAGCTGCCGGCTCTTCCCAGGAGGCTCTAATCAATGCAGCTACAGGCCTTTACTGCGAGGTCCAGATCCGGTGTCCACACCTTCTCCATTACACTGACACCAGTACCACCTCTCAAGTCACTTCCAGCTCACAAACTGCTCATTTGAAGATCAGGTCACCTTCCTCCTCAATCCCCAGACAAATGGTTCCCTCCTCCCCTCCTTTGCAGAGAGACCCCTCCCACCGCACGCGTCCTTGTGAGAAGGAAGAGACACATTCTAGGAGCACAGCTGGACCCGTTACTCCTTGATGACAGTGCCCCAGGAGTGGTGCCATCCTACATGGGAGTGGTGAGGCAGGGGAAGGGGAGACTGCAGTCAAGAGACCTGGGCTCCAAGCCCAGTTCCGCCCTCACTGGCTGTGTGGCTTTAGGCCTCCCCTGGACTGGGAGCCAGAGTCTCTACTTTGCACTTGTGTAGATGAAAGTGTCCAGTACATAACCTGCTTCACATTTGACTACATCTGCCTGTGTTCGGCGGCCCCATTCTCTGGCCCAGTCTTCTCTGGCTCCCCTAGGCCCTGCCTGTACTGACCACCTCCCCCTGCCTTTCTGGTCCTGCAGGCTCTCCAGAGCTGTAACTCCGTAGCACGGCATCCCTCCCCACAGTGCTTTTATCAACTCACTTAATTCTCAAAGCAACCATTCGAGGACGGTATTACCACTGTCATCTCCACTTTACAGATGAATAAACTGAGGCTTACAGATGTTAGGCAGCTTGTTCAATATCCCCTGATTAGGACGCAGAGCTGGGATTCAGATCTGGGCTTGCTGGTTCCCACTCCCCCATCCTGCCCTGGCTTCCCACCACTTAGCAGTCCTCTGATCCCCTCCTCATGCTCCCCTCTTCCCATTGAGCCACGAATCTGCCCACCCCCACCCCCAATCATCAGCTCTCCCTTCTTCCAGCTATGCTTCCCTTGCTGACCCTACACTGTCAGCAGATTTTTGCACTGGCTATTGGGGCTACAGTGGTGGCCACAGTCCTGCTTTCATGCACTTCACAGTCTGGGAAGTTGTATTCAGGCCCTGGAAGCCCATTGTGCTGAGTGTTGGGAAGGGCCTCAGGCAGGCTCTGCGGAGGCACCTGACCCAGGCTGGGTGTCCAGAGAAGGGAACCCCTGGCCTGAGTCCTGAGGGGAGGGGTGCAAAGACAGGAAGAGCATCTCTGCGAAGAGAACAGCAAGTGCTTAGGCTCGGCCTCGCGGGAGATGTGGAGTGGGAAGGAAGCTGTGAGTAATCCCTTGCGGCTGAATTAGGATTCCAGAGGCCAAGGAGAGCCTGTGGGGGCAGCTGGGGCTGGGTGGTGCAGGGCTGTGAAACCAGCTGGCCTGAGGTAGGTGGTGATAGGAGCCTCTGAAGGGTTTGGGTTGGGCGCGGGGCAGCCACAGGGCGTGGAGGAGTCTGAGCCCTCTGGCTACTGCAGGGGAAAGATGGTGAGGTCCCAAGGTGGGGGTGGTGGAAGCAGGCTGTCGGGGTGCCCAGCCCCTAGTGAGTGGCCAAGGATGAGGGGAGAAATGCGGGGTTAGAGGCATGCTCAGGACGTAGCTTCGATGGACTGTGATGGATGGGGTGTGGGGACAGCGATGTCATCTTCCCAGAGTTGCCCCTCACCTCTGCTGGAGCTTCCTCAGTGGCCGCCCTCTGGATCTCACCCCCCCCAGCCTCTGCAAAGGCTACTTGTCCTATGTGAAAAGTTTTCACTTGTCAGCAGGTAACCAGGAGCCTCCGCCCACTTACAAGCTTGAGAGGGGTGTGGTCAGATGGGGGTGTCAGAAACACTCGGGCCCCAAGGAAGGCTTAGCGGTGGGGATGGTCAGCATTGGGTGGGGGTGCAGGGATATGGGAACATTGGTGTTAGATCCCAAGAGAGCATCCCATCCTCAGAGCATCCTTCCCTGACCCCTTTGCCCCCATACTAAGCCAGCTCTCTCTCTCATAACCAGTTGTGCCACTCTGGAATTTTCCTCAATTTGCAGTTTTATATTTACATGCATTATTGTTTAATGAAGGTATATATCTCATGTATGCCCCATGAATATGGGAACATTATCTCCCTATCATCTAGGTGCTCAATAAAGGTTGAGTGAGGAATGAATGAATGATCTGTGCTGGAGTTCGGGCAGCATGTTGGATCAGTGGGTACAAGGTTAATGAGGAAGAAGCTGTCAATCTGTAGAGCTTGGAGTTCAAGTTCCACCGTTTCGATCAGAACCCCAGTTTCCCAACACTGACCTTTGAGGAATATAGCCACAGAAAAATAATTTTTAGCAATTCTTCAATGCTATGTGGGCTGCAAAAGACCATCAGGCATCCCAGAGGAAAGCTGGCAGGGCTCAGGGGCTGCCCAGTTTTCAGAATTACTCATCTGGCACTGATGGCTCTCCACTGGCACTGAGAATTTTGTGTACAGGGCCTGGATCTGAACCATGTACTAAAAAAAGGCTGGAACAAAATGTACCACATTTCCAACCCTGAACATATCTGAGTCGATGATAATATATGTTTTTTATTTTTACTAAACCTCAAAGTGAAGAAGATGTTCCCTCAAATGCCTGGTGGACCAGTTGAAAACTAGAAGCCTGCTGTAACGAACAGTGCTCAGACCCGGAGCCTGTCTGGCTCTGCAGGCCAGCTGCCCTGTGGGCCGGCTTTGTGATCAACTCAAGTCTCCGTGTGCTGCGAACCCCAGTTTTCTCATCCATGAAGTGAGGTGAGAGTCTTCTCTCCCTTCACCTGCAGGTGTGGTGGGGATGTTGGCTGAGAAAATGCGTTGACAACTGAATGGTACTGGATGAACAGGAGGGGTGGCTGAATTAGCCAAACTGCTGGACCTTTTCAAAGCCAGGATACTGAAGCATGCATCTTTCCAACCTTTGTGCAGACATGTGAGTACATTATTCTTTCTGTTCTGCTGCAGCTTCACTCTCAATTTCCCAGTCCCTGGAGGGGATGGGCTCAGCTCACCTCTCTGCCACTGGCCACATCATAAGCCTCTGACCACTGGGCTGGCTGCTTAAGTGGGGCACTCGCCCCTCCTGCAGTCAGCTGCAGCCAGGGGCCCTGTGCCATGGAGGCAGCCAGGCTTTCTAAGAGTCCTGGGTAGCTGCTACTGTTCAGTTCATTTTACAGACAAGGGGTCGGAGGCATACAGAGGTAAGGCAACCAACAACATAGAGATAGTAAAATGGCAGAGTCATGATTCAAACCCGGGGCTTTAAGTCATTGTGTCCGTCATCTTGTTCATCTCTGTATCTCCAGGGGTATCTCCAGGGCTTAGCAGAGCGCCTGACACATAATAAACACTCTGCATATGTTTGTCAAGTGAGAGTTAAGGAATAATAACATTTATTTTACAGGCTTATTATGAAAATTAAATAAGTTAGTATTAGTGAGAGCATCTGGCACAGACCCTGGGATTGAGCAGCGGTGAATAAATATTGGTTTAATTCATCCTGGATTCATTTGTTCAGCCTCCCTTATGGCTTGGGGCCATTGCTCCTGGCAAACACGGAGAAGGCAAACCCTGTCTTCCCGCCTTCAGCCCAGCATTCTGAAGACTGGCCTCAGCTTTTGAGACTTGGTGCTCTTTCTCTCTGCTTCTCCTGAGTAGCTGCAAACCTACTTGCAGGGGAGTTCATGATCAAGGTAAGCCGCTCTCTGACCCGCGTTCCCAGGCCCGCTTCGCGCCTCCCTGCCCACCTAGGTGACCCTCCCCAGTCCCCACAGACACTCCCACTCCCACCACAGGACTCACTCAGCCTAGGCCTCCTTTCCAGCCTTCAAGGATCTTTTCTTCCAGCCAGAAATCACCTCACACTCACTGCCCACCTGCTACTTTATCCACACCTCTCTTAAGGCACTTGGCACTGGGAGGCACCACAGATTGCTCTAAAAAGAGCACGGATGATGGGGTGGGTTTGTGTTGCTGGGCAGGTCCACACCGGCTGTGTCTCCGGCAAGTCACTTCATTTCCCTGAGCCTGCAGTCACCAAAAGTAAAAACAAGTTACATAATCCCCACTACTCAGGGCTGCTGTGAAGGCTATAAACCAAATGACTAACTTAGAACAAATCATTAATTTCCACATATGGTGCTATAGAATGTCACATCTGGAAGGACTTTAAAGGAATATTATATCCAGTGCTTTCCAACCTTCTTTTTGCTGAGCGGAGCAAGTTTCCCACAAGAGGTTAAGCTGAAACTCAGTGTCCTACAGAAACGGAACACCGGATTGCTTCGGTGGAGGTGGGGCCTAGGGCTCCGCCCACTTGCCTCTTTCCCGTGGCCCCTCCCCCTCAGGGCAGGCCCAGGGGCACCCTGCTGAGTCTCCAGGACCCACCAGTGCTGTTTGGAGCCTCTAGAGTGAGATTAATGTGGGGCTGAGCATTCCCAGCCTTCCCATCCAGATGGTGCCTTTGGGGCATCATGATTCAGGATCAGGAGATGCCCCCCAAGAGGGGCAAGATGTTTTAGACAAAGGAGTGATGGAGGAGGGCTCTTCAGGGGACAGTCTCTCCCGTTTCAGACTCTCCTCTGCCATCCAAACACTGGCAAAATCAGAGCAGAAAGGGCCTGTAAAGTTTCTTTATCTGTTTGGGAGATTACATAGCCACTTCACAGAATCTGAGAAAAACAAGTGAAGGACCTGCACACTTTTCTCCTTTCCAAGTAAGGCTTATTGAGGTATAATTTTCATAGAGTAAAATTCACCTTTTAAACAGTACAGTTCAATGAGTTTTAACAAATGGTGACACTATGTCACAGTCAAGATACAGAACATTTCCATTCCCCTAAGAATTCCCTCATGCCCCGCTGTCCTCTGTCCTTCCTCCTACACCCAGCTCTGGAAACCACCGATTTGAATTAAACATTTGATATCATGTCCGTACAGTTTTGCCTTTTCTAGAATGTCACATGTAGGTAGTCACACAACGATTAGCCTTTTGTGTCTGGCTTCTTTCGCTTAACCTATGGTGTCTGAGAGTCCTTCATGTTGCTGCATGTATCCATATTTGTTCTTGTTGGTTCCTGAGTAATATTCCATTGTATGGATATACCACAATTTATCCATTTACCAGTTGATGGACATCTTTTCTCCCCCCCCAGTTTTTTGGTTGTTGTGGCTGAAGCTGCTTCTTCTTCCAAGAAAAAATGTTTCCCGTGAGCGAGCAGGTCGGAGGTGATCGCCCTAGGCAAGGTGAAATGGGAATTCCATGTGGCATACCAGCGAGCCATGTGTTTGCTTAGAACTGCAGGTGGATCCCCTAAGTACTCTGGCATCCAGAATTCTGCAAGGGAGGGTGACCCGTGAGGAAGATGTTGTAGAGAGAAGGAGACAGCCAGAGGGTCCTCTCTTCCTTACATCATCCCTTGCTTTTTATGCTCAGGGCCCAGGTTTCTCTCTCCCAGACTCCTCTTCTGCTGTCTGGTGTAAAACAACACTTTTATTTTAGACAAAGGAGTGATAGAGGGGGGCTCTTCCGGGGAAGTCTCTCCTGTCTCAGATTCTCCTCTTCCATCCAAACACTGGCAAAATCAGAGCAGAAAGGGCCTGTAAAGAATTCAATTTTGCTTTAGGCATGTCTTCCACTTCATCCACTTCGCCGTCCGGGATGACTCACTGACCTGCTGATGTCTGCTCTCAGTCTGTTCTCCACCCGGCAGCCAGAGGAACTACTGTATTTGTAAAGCTTTGCTATTTCTTTATACCCAAGAAAACATTTTTCAAAATTAAAAAAGTACAAAAGGGCAGGTCTACAGAGAAAAGCCTCCTTCCCACCTCCAGCCACCAGGCCTGTCTCGGAGATAGCTTGTATACTAGTTAACTAATAATTCCTCCAGAGGTGTCCTGTGTGTATATGAGTATGTGGATGGAGGTGAATTTTTTCTCTTCCTGCCGTGTTTTACACGGATAGTAGCCTCAGATAAACCCTGCTGTACCCTGGCCTTGCCCAGGTAATAGATCTTGGAAACGGTTCCTTTTCCACACTTGAAGAGCACACCCACCTTGTTTAAATAGCTGTGTTTTCTATTCATGAATGCACCATAATTTGCTTGCTCCATCCCTTGTCAATGGACGTTCAAGTCGCCTCCAGTCTTTTGAGAGATTTTCTTTTAAAACACAGCAGTGATCGTGGTATTCCCCTGCTGATAGCCATTCAGTGGCTTCCCATTTCTCTGAGGATGAAATTCCAGGGCTGTAATGTAGCCCCAGGGTCAGCCTGGTCTGCTCCCCGTCCCTTCTGGTGCCGTCCTCCCTTCTCCCCCCAGGGTTTGTACACATGCTGCTCCCTTTACTGGAATGTTCTCCCACTTCACCTAGTTAATTCCCTCTTTCTTCAGGTGTTGGCCTAAAACTGCTTCCTCCAGGAAGCCTCCCATGACCCTGACCCCCGGCCAGGTCCTGTGGCCTGTGATTCTGCTTCAAATCTCTGACTACCATATCTATTATTACTCTGTTTCAAGTGATTGTCTGATCGATGTCTGTATCCCTCACTACACTGGAAGTGCCACGGTAGCTCTCCTGCTCTCCTTGCCACCAGATCCCCAGTGTCCGCACGACTCCATGGACCCTGAAGACAGAAGCTAACACTGACTGTGCATTTACTAAGGCCCGGCTGCAGTAATTTTTTAAATCAACTCGAAAATGAGGTAGGTACAATGATCGACTCCATTTTACAGACGAGGAAACAGCCTCCTCTCAGCGAAGCAAGTAACTGAAGGTCAGTACCGTCAGTACCCACTCTGGCACTCCCTAGGTACCTCCTTGCCTCCACACATGCAGTTCAAGAAGTGTTTTGATAAATGAATAAGGGAATGAAAAACAAAATGAACTCCCACTTTACAGACAGAACGGCTGAGGCAGTTTAGAGAGGAGCAGCTCGACCAGGTCACTCAGTGAGACAGAGGTGGTCCTGGCACGGCAGCACAGGTGCCTGACCAGGGGGCCTGACTTCTCCCCGCTGCCCTACCCGGCCTCCCACCGTGTGCTTCCCTAGCCAGGATCGCCAGAGTCAGCCCCACTCAGCCCAATCTCACTGCCGTGGCCTCCTTCCTCCACACGGCTCTCACACTTTCTGTGGAACTTTGCAAAGCTTGCTTCTGTGTGCCTCCCCCCACAAGACCAGCAGGCAGCTAGCTCACAGATCCCCTCAAGCACCAGCCCACATGATCAGGGCTGCAGGCGTAGCCCATGAATCAATCCGGACCTCCATCTCACTTTCTCCCCTGACCTGTTCAGTTCTTCACATGACTCTTGTCCTCTCATCAGCGCTGAGAGGTCCATGTGATTCTGGGAGTTCCCTCCTTGGATTTATTCTACAGAAGAAGCTTTGTCTGGGCTACGTTAGCAACATCTTATAGCTCAGCTCTTCATAGGAGGTATTTCTCTAATGCTCAAAGGTCTATTTTTATAGATTTACCTTTTCCAGATTGCAAGAATAATATTCCTGCCTCACATCGGCACAGTGTTTTCATTCAAAGATCCTCACTATAGCCATATGTGGTGGGTATGAATTATGCCCATTTTACAGACAAGGAACTACAGAGAGAACCTTGGCTGTGCTGGCGCTACAGTGTATCCAGGCCAGCCTCAGGGGTGAATCTTGATTGGTCTAAACCACACCTGACAATCTCATCCCCTTTTTCCAGTGATTGGTGTAAGGGTGGGCATGTGACCTGCTTCTGGCCAATGAGATATAAGGAAAGTTTTTCCTCATAGAAGAGAGGGCTACCTAGGGAGAAGGCAACCTTCTTTTTTTTTTTTGGTAGTTCCTTCTAGCTTTGGATCCTATTTATGAGGACTTGATATCCAGAGCTGTGGCAATCATTTTGTGACTAATGAAAAACAAAATGAACTCCCACTTTACAGACAGAACGGCTGAGGCAGTTTAGAGAGGAGCAGCTCGACCAGGTCACTCAGTGAGACAGAGGTGGTCCTGGCACGGCAGCACAGGTGCCTGACCAGGGGGCCTGACTTCTCCCCGCTGCCCTACCCGGCCTCCCACCGTGTGCTTCCCTAGCCAGGATCGCCAGAGTCAGCCCCACTCAGCCCAATCTCACTGCCGTGGCCTCCTTCCTCCACACGGCTCTCACACTTTCTGTGGAACTTTGCAAAGCTTGCTTCTGTGTGCCTCCCCCCACAAGACCAGCAGGCAGCTAGCTCACAGATCCCCTCAAGCACCAGCCCACATGATCAGGGCTGCAGGCGTAGCCCATGAATCAATCCGGACCTCCATCTCACTTTCTCCCCTGACCTGTTCAGTTCTTCACATGACTCTTGTCCTCTCATCAGCGCTGAGAGGTCCATGTGATTCTGGGAGTTCCCTCCTTGGATTTATTCTACAGAAGAAGCTTTGTCTGGGCTACGTTAGCAACATCTTATAGCTCAGCTCTTCATAGGAGGTATTTCTCTAATGCTCAAAGGTCTATTTTTATAGATTTACCTTTTCCAGATTGCAAGAATAATATTCCTGCCTCACATCGGCACAGTGTTTTCATTCAAAGATCCTCACTATAGCCATATGTGGTGGGTATGAATTATGCCCATTTTACAGACAAGGAACTACAGAGAGAACCTTGGCTGTGCTGGCGCTACAGTGTATCCAGGCCAGCCTCAGGGGTGAATCTTGATTGGTCTAAACCACACCTGACAATCTCATCCCCTTTTTCCAGTGATTGGTGTAAGGGTGGGCATGTGACCTGCTTCTGGCCAATGAGATATAAGGAAAGTTTTTCCTCATAGAAGAGAGGGCTACCTAGGGAGAAGGCAACCTTCTTTTTTTTTTTTGGTAGTTCCTTCTAGCTTTGGATCCTATTTATGAGGACTTGATATCCAGAGCTGTGGCAATCATTTTGTGACATGAGGCAGTAAGCTTGAGGATGAAAAGTCAATGCTCAGAATGGCAGAGTGGAGAGGGCCTGGCCCTTCCTGACATTAATTAGTGAGCCGGGAACCCAACCCTGGAAATACCTCTCTGCAGAGTCTTTGTTAAGTAAACATTAATATCCTTACAGTTGAGCAGCCATTGATCTGGTTTTCTGTAACTTGAAACTGAAAGCATTCTTTACGGCTAACAGTGAGGATGTCCTCACTCTGGGGAAAAACAATGACCTGGGAACAAGCCAAACGTGGGCTGCAGGCCCTGCTCCACCATTAATTAGCAGTGTGGCTCGGGGTGAAGTCACTTGCCCTCTCCTTCTCTGCTTTCTCTGTAGTAAAATAAGTGCTTGCATTACATCAGGGGCATCTCCTCACCATGACTCACAAGCCCCCGGCGCCACACGGGACTGCTTAAATGTCTTTTGGTGACAGTCATGAGTGGAGAAGGTCCACAATCAGCTCAGTGGTGAGTGTTCAGCAACGACTTTGAGGCATTAGACAGCTTCAGAGTCTTTGTTCATTCCTCTTCCCCATTTGTCAGCAAGCCTTCATTGTGCCCCAGTTTCAGGGTATATTTTTAGTGGAAATAAACTTGAACAGCTCAGGATGACACAATTCCTTCAGGAGTTGCAGTACCATCTGCTGATGGAGGCAAGCTGGGGAGCAGGACATGCATGGAGGCGGCAAGGCCCACTGACCCAGAGGTCGGGCAGGTGGGCTAACTAGGGGGAAATCATTTAATTTTGCCAGAAAAGCAAAAAAAATCTCCATTGGCTGCCAGCCTTGGGTAAGAGGAGTGCATTTGGCTTGGGTTCCAGAATTGATGCCTTCCAGTCCGGCTAGGGAAACAGAGGTGCTATTTGAAATTGAAGCCTTCTAAATTCAGGGCTGGATCTGCTTGTGTTTTGCTGAGCACTTTGATGAGTTTGAAGAGCCTGTTTGGGAGTGGGTAACTGGGCAGGGGAGCGACCTAAATAAGGGTGGAGAATTTGGTTTCTGGAAGCCATGGAGAAGACAGTTGCACGGACACTGTCGGTGACCTTCCCTAACCCCCTTTGCGGTACTGGTTCATCCAGGCCCCTCGTGCTGTGATTGTACCCTTCAAACCGAGAACCACCTTCACCTACAGAAGCCTGGGAGGCCTCCCTGCCTGCCCTCAGCCAATGAATGACCAATACAGGTGTGTAAAAGGCCACTCTCCTCAGCTCAAGATGGGATACACCTGTGGCGATCACACTGCAGAGCTTCCTGCGGGACCAGGCTGAGCCAAGCTTCTGTTGAACCCACATCTTTGCTTAGCCTCTTCTACACCCGGCGTGGCTTCCCCTACTCCCTTCGAGTTCTTCCTGTGAGTGTGCCTTTGATAAGTCATCTGCACAAGATCCTTGTCTCAAATGCTACTTCTATGAAACCAGACCTGTGATCATAGAAATGAGGAGAGAGTGGCCACTGGGCTGGACAAAGCTCCTTCAGATGGGATGAAAATGGCCAAAATCCAAAGACTTTTACACACAAAATATTTAATGTTCTATTTGAACTGCTACTTATGAGATGGGCAGACATGGCAGGTTTTTCTAATCTCTTGCTGTTAAGTAACCTCTTAGCCCATCCCCTTCAATCTTAAATACTATCTAATATACACAGAAATGCCTTGCAAGTATAGATGTGAGTGTATGTGTGTAAACACAGGGTGAGGGGTTGGGTTCCCCAATTAGTTTGACCTAAGATAGAGACAGGACATGCAGGGCAGTGAGACAATACATAAATGGAATTAACTCGGCAGAAACAGGAGCTAGAAGTGGTCATGAGAATGTAAATCCTTTGGGAATTTGCACAAATGTTGTAGAGGGCTTGGGACTTCCTTGGAAATAGAATGGGAATTTTAATCATTCTTATCTAGAACTTAAAGAGCCAAAAGACTTCAGCTAGGGTGGAAGACACTGCCGCTTATATACACAACATCCATTTTCCCTTCCTTCCTTGGCAAAAGAGCATTGGTTTATTCTGAACAACAATGTGCCCAGTTAACACATTTTCCCAGAGTATTGGGTGGCCAATGAGATATAAATATGAATTTTTGAGAGGCACTGTTCAGAAGAAGCCTCCTTAAAAAGGGCACGGCACAGGCCCTTTTTTGTCTTTTTCTTCCTCCTCCTCCTTCCTGCCTGGAACATAGATGTAATGGTTGGAACTCCAGCAGCTATTTGAAGCCATGAGGCAACCTTGAGGATGGAAGCCACACACTGAGGGTGGCAGAGAAAAAAAATTAAAGGATTCTGAGTCTTGAAGACCTCATGGAGGTGCCACGCCAGCCCAACTGAAGTTGAACTCTAGGACTCGTAGTTGCACCCAATCCTGATGAATGTTGACTTTCATTTTTAGCACCTTTGCTAGGACTCCCTTTTCTCAGGATTATCCTTAGTACTTGTTGCCATGTTTTTCATGGAAATGACTTTGGGAAGCAGCCTGGTTGAAGGGGAAAGGGCATGGGCTGTGGAGTCAGGCTGAGTTGGGTTTGAATCTCAGGTCACTTGCTTTCCACCTGTGTGACTTTTGTCTCCTTGATTGTCATCCTGTTATGTCCTTGTCGCTAAATGGAAAGACTGGTTTGCTGGAGGAATTATAGGGGATTACCTATATATAAGGCAGCTAGCTTATGGTCAGGCACATAGTAGGTGCTCAGAAATATTTGGTATCTTCACGCCATGGGTTTTTCTATCTCTCTGCCTTGATGAAGTTTGAATGAAATGGACTGAGACTGTTGAATGAA